TGGCAGTCCGTTTTGGTTCTATATTTAATGGCAAGCGACAACATTTGAGCTGACTTTTCTCTACGCCAACCAATTTAGCGTCCGACGAAAAGCGGGACTCAGTACTCAGAAGGAGCTTCAAGTCTCAGACTTCGGACACTTTGCCCAGAAGAGAAACAGTGAAAACTTTTGGATTTCAGATGCACAAGTTCTGACAGAAGTTCTGCCCTTCCTGGAGAGGAATTTTCCGTAAGACTGTTGCAGTTTATGCAACAAATCTATACAATCTATCTGAAATTTTCCTGGGCGGCCAGAGAAATGCTTTGGAAAGATGCATCGCTCAAAGAAAATAATTGAAAATTTGGCTCCGGCGTTAAAGAATGTCTTGAGCAATTCATCTATAAGTAACTCCAGTGAGAAGCTGAAAGATACATTGATTGTGAGCATGAACATATATTTAGTTGTACTAAGTTGCATATCCTACTGTTTTGGATTTCTATTCACGTTTGAGAAATATTCAAAATTCGTCACTCGATCGTCACACAGAATATCAAAATCACTGAATGGCACTATTTATGCATGAAAATATGCTAATAAATGCAAGGATGTGTGGCAGTCAGCAGTCAGTCGTGGGCTATAAAGTAAACAGTAGGACGCAGGATGTAGCACATACGCCACGTTGTCAGCGGCAGTGATTACTTCCAGGCTCTGGACGGATAAGCAGATAAGACTTTTGGCTTTGCCGCTGTCAGAATGAATAGCTCTTGTTGAAATACTTCTCCAGTAGAAAATTATTATGGCCGAATAAACTGTGAAACATAGAATAAATCCCGCACAGCAGGCAAGCAGCCTTAAATTTATTAAACTCCAGACCCAGCACGTAAACAAAAATATTATAAATAATATGTAGTATATAAAACTATACAATCCCTAATGCCATTGCACAAACTTCGCTGCGAGGGCAAACAGCTTCGCAGTGAATGGTCTGTTAAGGGTTTTGGGCTGTGATGAGGAGGTCTCGTGACCTCCTCGAGTGCTGTTGGTCGGAATTAATTTCGGAATTGCTTCAGAGATGGGATGAAAGTGCAGGATCTTTTAATGTTCCTCCATCTCTTGGAAGTTTCAGCCACGAATCGCGAGTTAAATGACAACATTCAACCAAAGAAGACTCACATTTAGCTCTTGCTAATTTTCTACCCTATTTGAAAACTCAATCAGAAGTCTGAGGGGGCGAAAGATATTATCGATGATGGGGAACTTTATTAAACTCATCTTTGATTGGAAATTTCGCTCAGCAGATGGCGCTTTAACAGCTCTTGCATGGTACAGTATACAAATTCCATCAAATATTAATGCCCAGGTATGCAATAAATAAATACGAGTATGGACAATAAGCGAACGCATTAACGACTGACAATCGAGTCAGCGATGAGTCAGAAATGAAAAAGATTATTCGCATTGCTTGCTGATTCAATCAATTATGGCGAAAGCATTGCATTTCTCTTTGGACTTAACGATAACTGTTGGAAAAGTAAACGAGAGAACAAAAAGAACTCATTATGGCAGAAAAAAAGGGAATTTTTTAATTAAATGAAGGCGTTTAAGGAATGGATGGAAAATCCTGTACATTTTTTCTACCAAACTTCATCTCTCTCACGTGCGACCAATTGTAGTGTATACTCTATAAAAGTTGCAAACTGCAAATTTTCTTTGTCAAGACCACAAAGGATGCCAGGATGTCCGGACTTTGACTTGTGTTTGAGTTGGATGAAAATGAATTAAAAATACCTGCTAACGTTTCTTAGCAAATTTAATCTCTTCTTGTATTATTTAGTTTACTGTACGCTCCATGCGAGTCGTAAGAGCAATGCAATCAGAATTTTGCTGTGCAGTTAACTAATTCCCACTTTATACCCGACGGTGTCAATTGGTTAGTTGCTGCCAGTGCACCACTGCAGTGGTGGCAGTGGCAGTGGTGGGTGCTGCTGCCGGATACTTTTTCGATGCCGTCTTATTAGTGGCCAAGTTAATGGATGCCTGCTCTACCCGAGCTGTTCCTCCAACTGCCTTCACTTTAGCGGTTTACTTTTCGATGCTGTGCAAAACTTTCCAGCAGCTCCAATTTTCTTCCATGCAACTTTTTTGTTTTAGGTATGAACTTTTCCCGTTTTCTCTCGTTGTGTGGTTTTTCTTTTTGCAGTGTTTCTGTGTCTTTGTAGCGTATAAATTGCCGTCAATTAGTTTAATTGTTTTCCTACTATTTTTTCTTTATTTTCTTCCACCCTAATTGCACTCTCTCCTGTTCTTACTGGTGTCCATTGATGGCCCTCATTGATTAGTTGTGCAATATTTTTTCAGCTGTCAATGCCTTTGTTTCACTGTACTCCATGTATTCGTTGTACTCGTTTTTAATGGCCATCAAATACAAAAGCTTTTGAGTTATTATTGTAACGATCAGAAACCCCAATGTATGCTGGGATGTATGCTGATGTACGCTGAGACTATCGAGGAAAATTGGCTGGGAAAATCCTATGCTATTTTTCGATTTTCAATTGTTTCCGGTATGGGGTTCACTTCATGCACTCTGGCTTCATATTTTCATAGGCTTTAACTTCCCCATTTGTCGCCTAAATGCATGTGAAGTTACTTAAAGAGCAATATAACATGGAATTTATGTAATAACTTTTTTACAGCTTAACCATAAAATTGCATCCAATGGCATCTCCACCAAAGAAAACTACTTAGATTTTCTTCCTTTAAGACGAAAATGCACATGTGCTGCTATGACGGAAACAAAGGACAAAGAAGATTTTACTAAAATTGATGATGCTGTGCTTGAGTTTCTGTTTGGCAGATGACGCCTGAAAAAATGCCATTAATCTTTATACACTTTTTGAGAGGGTAAAAACAAATGAAACCAGTTGACTGATAGGCACACACAATACTATTCCAAGCATCACTTAAATTGAATATTATTTAGCTGCTTAAATCAAAATTAAATCTTCTTTATACCAGAGCTAACAATCCTTCAAAAATATCTCTCGAATGTAAATATTGTTAAGAGTATGTCCAATATAATCCCACAATCACTAGAAAATTAAACATTCTGCAAATTATTATTATCTCATATTAATATTTAGAGCCGAGTGCTTGTACCTACCCCACACTGATTTTCATATTTTGTGTTGGGTTTTATGCTGTTTTTCAGCCAAATGCCAGAGAGTAGTAAATTGCATTTAATGCAAATTTCCCAGCACCGCAGGCGGACTCCGAACTGCGGACTCAATCCAATTTAATTTTCCGCCAGACAAAATTTTGTGACAAGAACCTCTCTGTGGCGGGGACCTGCTCTTAAATCTGTGAATGTTTTGCCAACTTTGTTATTTACTTGTTTTGATTAAATTTCCATTTTAAAAGAAATTCATTTCCGGCATTGCGGGTTATAAATAGACTTGATGTGGCTTCTCCCTGATGCTTCCTGTGTCACAATTTTGTATCCCCAAGAATATGGATACCGTTTAAGGTGAAAATTAAAACCAGTGCCCTGTGCTCCTGCGCCTCAGGGGTATAGTTTCATTGATGGCAACAATGTATTGCAATTTCCTGGCAGAAACGAAATATTTTTTTGGGAAATTCCTTGATTAATTGCGACGAGGGTAGAATCTTATGCAGCTTCCTGTTTCCTGCTGCTGAACGGATTTAATACGAATCAATCGAACTGCATTACTAATCACATATTCCAGGACACAACGTGTGCCAGCCGGTAACTTATATAAATATGCATGAGGCATCTGTGGCACTCTGCTGTGGAAAAGGAGCGGAAGGCGGCAGCCAGGTCCTATGACTGAATTCATTTAGAAAGCCACTTCAAAGGAGTAATTAGCATTGGCCAGGGCTAATTGTGAATCCAACTAAAGATGCACAAAACTTTTATACATTTCCACATAGAAATGCAACATTTTATTTGATTAGGTCTGGAAAATTTTCTGCAAATAATTGAAATGAATCCTTAATTTATATGCTTGATTAGAGAGTTGCTGGCAACAATATCTTACTCTTCTCATTGTCACTTTGCAAATAGGTCTCCAAGTCAACCCCGAAGCTAATTATAAAAGTTTCCCACCCAAAGGGACACTGACACAACTAACAAGGACTCGCGGACTGATTGATGCCCAAGCAGTTGAAATTTTCTAATTTATATGATGGATTTTGTGGTGGGGGAAAGTGCACTCCGAGCAGCTGCTTCCCGTCACGGAAAATTGACTGATGGTAGAATGGTAAACAAATACAGTTGTGGCAGACATGGAGAGTATACTTTGAGTTCTGCTGGGAGAACTTTTCCATTTAAATGCCATTTCCAGGATAACCACTCTCATTCGCATATGTATTTAGTTTGGACCAAAAAACATTGCCCTTTGAACGTCGCCTTGTATAACCAAGAATATGTAACCCAATTTGAAGAAACTCTACAAATTTTAAAGGAGCCATAGATCTAGATCTTGAATAGGCTTTGATACATGATTTAATTCACTAAATCTCAATATGCAAACACTTTAATATAATCCTTAAAGTCAGTTCCCAAATCCTGATTAAGTGACAACTTCTAAATTTACCGTTCTAATGTCTAGGATTATAACATATTCAAAACAATAATATTAATATAGTTTGTTCGTAAATTAACATGATTCTCTTATTATTACGGTACGAGAAATGTTTCGTGTCAGCAACCCCATTTCAATTAATAATCCATTATGAAAATTGTGTCCGAAATTGATTCCTATCCAAGCTCCGTCATTAATAGTTACCTATGTGCCAACAGAAGGGAAACCGCAAGACGAACCAAAATGTATAACTTTTTGGCAAATAGAGCAACAATTTGTGGATGGGAAATATATTTCACTACTGCGATTAATTAGCATCTACATAATTTGTACCTGTTTGTCAATATTGAAAATGGCGTTTCTTTGGGAAAATGTTTTGTGGCCCTGAAAAGGGCCTTTTTGTTCTGCAGAGAAACAAATTTACTTGGAGCTGGTGTACTTGGTGTACTCACTAACAGCGTGCTTGGCCAACTCTCCCGGCAGCAGCAGGCGCACAGCAGTTTGGATTTCCCGACTGGTGATGGTCGAACGCTTGTTGTAATGAGCCAAGCGAGACGCCTCGGCGGCAATGCGCTCGAAGATGTCATTGACAAAGCTGTTCATGATGCTCATCGCTTTCGACGAAATACCAGTGTCAGGGTGGACTTGCTTCAGAGCTTTGTAAATATAGATGGCATAGCTCTCCTTCCTCTTGCGCTTCTTCTTCTTGTCGGTCTTGGTGATGTTCTTCTGAGCCTTTCCAGCCTTTTTGGCTGCCTTTCCACTAGTCTTGGGCGGCATTTTATTTCACTTTACTTTCACAAATTATACTTTGCGTGGTGAGCAAGTTTTTTTTTTTTTGCAAGTTTATTTATTGTCATCTTTCATATTACAGTAGCACAGCTTCTGCTTAAATATATAGTTATACAAGAGTGACAGGTTCAAGCTTACTTTAACTTATGTTTATAAATTTACTCTGCGCTTTAAGCTTATCAGGGTGTTAGTCTTTTGGTTACTAATATTAGACATCTTATTTTATGATTAGTTTAGATTATGTTATTATATCTAGTAGTTAGGTGTATATTCCAGGAAAAAAGGTTATGATAAAAACCTGAATAAATTTGATTTTTGTTGGGTTTAAGTCTTATGAGCTAATTTATATACTACGCTTATTCTACTTTTGGGGTGTATTTATAAGGAGGATGAGGAGAGGACTATGTACAGATTGAGGAGTTAGTTGGGAGCTTATTGGCTGATATTATATACCAGCCCGTCGGCTTGACTTAGGGATTGGTGTCTTCTGTGGTGAAAGATTAGGTTTTCGTCTTCGTCGTAGATGATACCCATTGCCATTAGATGGCTTATGTGATGGGCAGTCAGACACTCAGTGGGGTAGATTCCAGGTATTTCGGTTTGCGTCATGTTGTCTCTTTCAATGAGCCTCTCCAGTATGTTGAACATAAGTCTGTCTATCCTTGTTGTCTCAGTTAATGCGTAGAGCCGCTTGTTCGGTATGTTATGGCCCGTCAATGCATCTCGGCTTTGGGTGCCAATTGACTTGCGAAGTATTTTTCTTTCGAATCGTCGCAGCTCTTCCATTTGGGCAGACGTTATGTTCATCCACGCTACATAGCCGTACATAATGACTGGTTGTATAAGTTTTCTGTAGGCTAGAGCGTAGATTTTGGTGAGTTGACTAATGTTCCCTTGAGTGGCAGCTATTGGCTTGTAGATGTGCTGGATCTTGCTCAGCATTGCACATGCTTTCCTCCTGGCAGTTTCTGTGTGTATCTTGAAGTTGAGCTTTTCGTCGTAGATGACGCCGAGGTACTTGAACTGCTTCTCGTAATTGATTGGCAGTCTGTCATAGATGTACAGACTTGGCTCAAATTGTCTCGCATTCCTGTAAAGGTCTCCCCGTCGGGGGCCTTTGAGGATTGAGCTGGTGCATTTGCTTGCGTTGAGCTTGAGGTGCCATTTGGTAAAGTAATTACACAGAATGTTCAAGTACTCGTTTAGCTCTCTTTCAGCGGATTGCATTGAGCCTGAGGAAGCCAATAGCAGGATATCATCGGCGTAAATTAGTGCCTTAATTCTTGTGGTTGAGCCGGTAGGGATTTGGTACTCGGGCATGTCTGCCAGGTAGATGTTGTAGAGGATGGGCGCTAGCAGTGATCCTTGCGGAACGCCTGCTGGGATCGACCTTATTAGGGACAGATCAGCGTCATCTGGGCTGCATACCTGAAATGACCTGTTTGTAAGATAGTTTAATACTACCTTTATAATGTCTGCATTGAATCGGAATTGGGTCATCTTGTAAATGAGACCGCTGGTCCAGACTGTGTCAAATGCTTTCTCAAAGTCCAGAGCACAGGCTATTGTAGCACGTTTGTGGGATAGATTCTCAAAGATGAAATCATTTGCTGCGATAAATGCATGGTTGGTCGATGATTTCGCTCTAAAACCATATTGAGAATCCTTCAACGTGCTATTTGAGTCCATGTGCTTCTGTATTTGTCCCATTATAATTTTTTCCAGCAGCAGACTTATTGCAGATAGAAGGGCAATAGGTCTGTAGGCCCGAAGGCTGTGCGGACTTGTTCCTGGTTTGTGGATAGCGATGATTCTGCTGTTCTTCCACTCGGACGGAAAGTATCCCAAGTTAAGGCAGTGGTTGAACAGTGTTGCCAAGTGGTTTAGGATAGGCATGTTGCAGTGCTTCATCAGAAAGTTGCTAGTGCCGTCCGGTCCCATGGTTTTCTTTGTGTTTTTCATTTTCAGAATTTCCAGAAGATTTTCTGCGTTTGTGAATCCACACTCATGGGACTCGGGCCAGTTACCGTCTGCTGTTCTGGAAGTATTAAATGTAGTTTTGTATGAATTTAATGTTGTGGATATTGATTGGGCTATTGTTTCGTTAACGGTCGTTGTGTGTGCTCTTAGGATAGGGTCTGAGTCGGTGATGTTTTCGTTTTGACTATGGATTCTTTCAAAGGACCAAGCAAGGGCATTAATTTTGTGAAATGTCGAAGATATATTTTGAGAGGTGCTAAGGTCTAGATCTATGTCTATTAATGCAGCTTCCTCGCTGGTCAAATGTAGGTCATGAGCTAATTGTTCTTTTGGAGGAGAGTTTGGATTAAGTCCTTGAAGTGTTTTATGGCTAATTCTACTTGGATCTATTTTGCGTAGTCGGTGGTCTATTGATTTTAGTTCGGCTAATTCTATGTGGCTGTTGATTTGTATGTCCAAGTCCTTTATTGTGTCTTTTATTTGGTTTCGTTGGTCTGGTGTAAGAGTGGATAGGCGTCGGAAAAGGATACGTCTAAGTTTTCGTTTTGTTTTGATTAGGTTTAGGCAGTAGGTGCTAAGTCGGACGGACGGATTGTTTGAGTTAGTCGGATTTATGATGATTTTGGGGATTGCTTCGTCGGAATCAAGGGCTCTGGCTACTGCATTTGTTAATGTATGGACGTGGCTATCTATGTCAGCTGTGTTTATATTTTGAGTGTTGGGGATGGGTCTGAGGTTCTGTAGGATTATTGTATTCCAGTGGATCGGACTTATTTTCTGAAAATTGAGTAGAGACTTGGGTTGGTTGTATGTTAGTCGGTTCTGTCCTAGATTTATGGTAAGGGTTATTCCAAAGTGGTCTGAAGGAAAGTCTTTTATGGTTTTGCAGCCATAGGTAGATGTTAAGCTGTCTATTGGGGTTGAGGAGGACGCTAAGAAAAAATCAATTGAGGAGGCTCCTCTCGGATTCGGTCGTGTGGGTTCTTGGGTTGGATGTAGAGACAAGAATGGTTGGTCTGCCAGCCATCTCTCCAAGCTATTTCCAGACGTGTTGGTGTGTTCTGGACGGTACTCAGGCCTATTCCAAGATGGGTGTTTCGCGTTCAGGTCACATCCCACTACGAATTGCTCATGGTCCTCTAATTTAGCCAGCGAGTGCATTAGAATGTCCAAGTCTGTGACTAGTAGAGGATCTTGAGGACGCAGGTACAGAGAGATTGCAATCAGTCCCGTTCTTATGTTGTTTCTGCTGGTGTGGAAAATTTGCACTGCCACAGCCTCGATGTATTGCATTTGGTCGATTTTCACACGTTCGTATTTAAGACCATTTCTCACGCAGATGGCCACTGATGTTGCAGGGCTTCTGGTGTTATTCTGCGTGGTTGTTAAGCTTGGCATCTGTTGTCTCACGAATTGGTAGTGGCTTAATCCGGGTGAGTGTAGGCATCGCAGATTGTGCTCAGCGAGCAGCATCAAATCTGGCCTGTGTTTGTTAAGCAGCTCGTTTAATTCTTTCCGCTTCCGCAGTTGAACGATGCCATTGACGTTTTGGAACATGATTTTTACTGGCATTTTAGTTGAGCGCAATTTGAATCAGGAAATCTAGAATTAGTTGCCTCTTTCCCTTCATATCCGTGCTGGAAGTTGGATACTTCTTTACAACGGATTGCATGATGTCGAAGCAGGTAAGCAGATCTTTTCCAAATGCATCCACAGAGTCCTCATTTAGTTGTTCAAATGAAAAACTGGCTTTTTCTTCAGCTCTCTTGGGTTTCTCTTGGCGTACTCTGGGTGTTTCCTTTACCTTTACCTGTGGAGGCATTGGTCGGCTTTTGGCAGCTGAGGCGTAGCTTCGTCCCTTTTCAAGTCGGCTTTGTGGTGGGGCTGGAGTTGTGATGGTCTTATTGGCTTTACTCTCTGTAGTATTGCGCCGTTCGGATACCTTCTTAATATATTCCATTCGTACCGGGCAGATCTTTGCATTGGCCGTATGGTTACCTGAGCAATTTACGCATTGAGTTTTTTGTGCCGAATCTTCTTGGCCATCCTTTTCTTCCCTTTTCTTTAGGGTGCATTGGCCTGGGGCATGCGATTTCGTGCATTTGACACAGCGGAATGTCATTTTGCAGTTGCTTGCAACATGGCAGAATCGCTGGCAGTTGTGACACTGCTTTATTGCGTTTGGGTGCGGCTTGAAACCCTCGATGTTTATGCGGCAGTTGAGGAGTGTTGTTACTTTAAATATCATGTTTATTTTAGCCGTTTTCTCCACTTGTACCATCCACAGCCTATCCTTGTATGGCTTTACCGACAGGATGTTCAGCTCAGGCACGGCCTCAATAAGTGATGCTTTTACTTCTTCGGCATTATACACTTCGAGTGGAAGTTTCCTCAGGATTACTGTATGTGGCTTTACTTGTTTGGGTGTGTAGCTGTAGTACAGCACCTTGTCCTTGTTAAAGCGTTCCTTTGTCTGATTAAAGTCTGCCAGTGAGAAAACCTTAACATGTATCACATTTTTGTTAATAATGTTTAAAGTAAATTTCTTTGCCGTTTCCTTAAGGATTGTCGTTAGAATCTTGGCATTTTGTTGATACGTCACTATGACCGGTAGACCTTTCTCTTTTGCAGGTTCTGCTACCGGTGGTTTTTTTGGCGTCACATTTCTTTTTGGCACAGACATTGGTTTAGTTGGTGTTTTGGGTGTTGGAAGTTTTGGATAGTTGCTCACATCCTCAGTAATTGTTTTGGCTGGTTTCTTTGGCGAGGGCGGTTTTGCACTTTTCTTTCTTTCCTCCTGTTTCGTTGGTTTTGGTGTTGATGTGGTGCTGGGAGTTTTTTCCAGGGCGTCAAAATATTTTTGGAACTTTATTTGCTGTTCACGGAGGTGTTTTAGCTCTGCCATTATTCGCTCCATCTCAGCACGGTCCATTATCACAGTGTCGATTTCCGTCTCACATTCACTGATGTCATCACCTTCACTTAGGTCCTCGCTCTCGCTCTCACTGTCTGTTGTGGAGTACAGTTCATCTCTGGTCCTCTTCACAT